TTCAATTTTTAAAAACATTTTTAGGAATTTGTTTGCTTCTGCATTTTTTAAATTTATTGGCATAAGTTTGTAATATTCTCTTCGTATTTGTTTAATCTCAACAGCATCCGCAGTTTTATCTTAATTTCTCATTCCCAATATATTTTAATTCATCATTTTATTTTATTAGTCTTTTCAAGAAACCATTCTTTGGCTTTGTTAAACCTTTATTTTTTTTCTTTTCTTCTTTTTTTTTTAAAGACAGGGTCTCACTCTGTCACCTAGGCTGGAGTGCAGTGGCATGATCATATCTCACTACAGCCTTGAACTCCTGGGCTCAAGTGATCCTCCTGCCTTAGCCTCCCAAAGTGCTGGGATTACAGGTGGGAACCACTGTGCCCAACCTAAACCTTTCTTTTATACGCTTATTTTCAAATCAAATAATTTTATTCCCTCACATTTTTGTTTTCTTCCTTCTGCTTTGAGTTTTGTTGGTCTCATGTTTTATGTGTATGTTTAACACCTAAATTTTCAGACTGCCTTCTTTCCCAGTGTAAATATTGAAGGCTCTATGTTTTTTTTTTTGTAAAAACTGGACTGGTTTAGGCTGTATCCTAGGTGTTTTGATATGTATTATTTTTTATTATTGTGTCGTTTTGAGTATTTTCTAATTATCTTATTAATTTTTTCTTTTAATTTCAGGGCTTATGGGCTTTCCTGGTTGTCTTTCTGTTATTGATTTCTAATTGCATTTGTTGCAGTGTACACATACCACATGGTTTTTATTTTCCCAATACTTTGAATTTTATTGGAGGTAGTTCGATGTCTTGGCTTGTTATCAAAATTTGTAGAGATTCAATGTGTGTTTGAAAATAGTATTCTCCAACTGTTAGGTAGAGTGTTATATTGTATATTGCTCAAATATACTGATTTTTTTTTTTTGTCTGTTTGAGCTATCAATTACTGAGAGATGTAGTAAAATCTCCTTCTATGACGTGAGTTTTTTTTCTTATAAGTTTTGGTTTTATGTATTTTGAGGTTGTGTTATTGGGTGCATACATGTTCAGAATCGTGTCCTGCCTGGTTAGTTGAACATTATAAAATTAATCATTACAGCCCCTTTTTATCTGTATTCTACTAATGAGTTTTGCCCTAATGTCTCATTTGTCTAATATCAAATTGGCTAACTTAGTTGTTTTGGGAGAGGAAGGGGCTTAATATTAGGTTCTACGTTCTTTTTCTGACATTTTATGTGAATTCAAGTGAGAACTTGAACAGAAAAAACCCTCACAGAAATATGGAAAGAATGAACAAATCTTAACATTGTATATTTGCAAAAAAAAAAAAAAATTGTAAAATATGCAAATTTCCAGTAATACTGATAAGCAAAAACAATGAAAATAGACCCAGTTGAATAATTTTAGCAACTAAAAAGGGATCAAACCTATCCATAGAGTAGCGTTTTAAAAACAAAAGAATATTATCAGTTATTTTATTACAATAAACTTGAATTTCGATGCAGTGCATAAATTCATAGAAAATATAATTCATGTAGTTGTCACAGGTAGAAATAGAAAACATGAAAACAATAATAATGTGAAAAAGAAATCAATAATCAAAAGTCCATTCAAAAGATACATGTGCTAGATGTTTTCACTAGTAAGTTTTACCGGACTTTCAAGTCATAGTTTCCTATATTGTCTTCTAAAAGTTTTATAATTTTGTTTTTCACATTGAGATCTTTAAACAACGTGGAATGTTTTTGTTTTAGGGAATAGAAAAGGAGAGAAAGCTACTCAACACATTTAATAAAGTTGGTTTATCTATCAGATGAAGATATTACAGAAAAAAGGTAATGGTAGACAAACTTTGTTCACAGAAATTCCTAAATAAAATCAAAACAAAAAAACTCAGCTGTGTATTAAAATATTACAACCAAATATGATTTATTCCAAAAATACAAAAATAGTTAACTTATAAAGTCACTTTACAAATTATACTATGTTAAGACAATGAAAAAGAAAAACCAAGTCTTCGTCACAGAGACTGTAGTCAATTAATAGCCCCTCCAGCTGTGTATTGGAATACTTGTTACTCATATTCTTTTCAATACATGATGGTTTCAGATTCATTATTTTTGGCCTATTTGGTTCTTAAATAATAAAATATTCATGTTAAGCTAATTTGTGTTTCTTTGATTTCTTGTAATGTGAACATCATTTTCTTTTTACTAGCAATTTGTATTCAACAACACCGAAAGCTTTATATGTGGAAATAACACTTGTGGTATTTCAAGTTTACACGAAGACAGGGCCTGTTTTATATGTCTTTGTACCTCCAGCATCTTGTACAATGCTTGGCATATAGCAGGTATTCTGAGATATTTATTAAGTGAATTAAATAAATGATTAGTAAACTGTGAGCCTTCTGAAGAAATTTGTGATGTAGACCAATTTTGGAATGTCTGAAAAATTACATTTTTTGACAGATTGTCATTCTTTGTGCCTTTGCTAAGAGATCATTTTGCCAATCATGTGCTTACCTGAATCATACTTCAGTCACTCTGGGTTTAAAAATAGTTTCTTTCTTGTTTTGCAGTAGTGTATCAAAGGATTGAAATATCTAGATTCCTGACCTTTTAGATAAGTAGGATGTTACCAAAAGAAGGTTATATATAGAATTATTCTTTAAAAACTGAATTGGATTACAAATAACTATAGTTGTCTGTGATGAAATGTTTTTGTCTTAGGGTCAGTAATAAAGATATAGTGCGTATACTTTATTTGAGTGTCAGGTTATTTGGAAGCATTAAGGGGGAAAAGTAAAGTGAATTAGAAGGTAAACTTCAAGAGTTGCTAAATGTTATGCTATAGGCTACTGTGTTATATTTTCTAGAGCTGTTTGGCAGCTAGTCTCATGTGGGTTCCATGTGTTTTGTTTTGTTTTTAAGTTTATTCTATACTTATCCTTCTTAACCAACTATAGACAGTCCTCCACTTATGATGGTTTAACGTAACGATTTTCTGACTTTACAACGACTTTATCAGGACCCAGTCTTTAGGACTTAGGGATAGGGTTACAGTTTTTACTGAATGCATATTGCTTTTGAACTATTGTAAAGTTGAAAAATTTTAAGTTGAACCATAATAAATTGGGGACTGTTTGCTGTGTTGGCAGCATTAAATGCATTTTTGACTTGTGATATTTTCAGATTTACAATGGGTTTATCGGGGTGTAACCCCATTGTAACTTGAGGAGCATTTGTATTTCTGATATACTCGTATAGCAGCTGGGAAAGGGAAGGACACTATTCCCAGATTACTGCACTATTCCTTGTGGTTCCCTTATATACTGCCTATACCTTTGTAAATAGTCCACTTGTAAATAAACTTTCCACAAATTAGGGTAATTTGTTTCCCACTGGGACCCTGACTGATAGACCGGGGCCACAGTCTCGTGATTTATCTAGTCTAATTTTTTCAAAACCAGGTGCCTTGGTCGTTTTATCGGGGTTCACTTCCCAGCCCCTCCCCCGTCCCTTCCCCCTCCGCCTCCATGAGATCCTCCATACCTTTAGTATGGAGGAAACTTGGTCTCTTTCTTTGATCTTCCTCTTCTCTGTGAATTCCAAATAGGGATCTAATCTCTGCTTCCGTTCCTAACAATCTAAAATACTAAGGTAGAAATCTCTAGTACACTTGGTTAAGCAGAGAAGAATACCCCTGTTTTCTAAACTAGTTAGAGCTAGCTAAATGTGTACTTCCAGAACCAAAGCAAGCTGTAAGGTCTGCTTTGTCTGTTTCGCTCCTCTAATGCTCAAATACATATCTTTGCTGTTGTCACACTCTGGCTCCATGGAAGGGAGAGAGAGAGAAGAGATCTATACCCATATATGATGGTCTTTTAATCATATCAACTCCTTTTTATGTGTGATAGTAAAGAGGGACACAGGAGAGGAAAGGAAACAGGTCCAAACTCTAGAGGCAGCAGAATGTATAATTGATTTACTCATTTAAAGATGTTAATTTATCCCCTATTTATTACTAGGATTATATCCAGATTCCGTGCATGATACTAATGCCATTCCCATTTTCCAGTTCATATTTCTTTGCCTTTCTTCTTGAAATTCTGTAGCAATGGATTATTTACCATTATCACCCCAAATTCACTTTCTTACTTGTTGGGTAGCTTACTTTCTTCATTTGCTTATATTGTGCCTGGAGTGTCTACACTGTCTGAATTCAGACAAAGGAACAAAAATTCTACTTAGTCCTCAAGGTTCAATTCTTCTGCTACGTCCTCATTCTTTTCACATAATTAATGTTCCATTCTCACTGATCCTGAAGCACTTTATATTTACCTGTGTTAGAAAGTTTATCACACGGTTACATTTTGTGTATCTTACGCAGGCATACTTTTCTGTCTTTCTTGAAAACTGAGAGCTTTTGAAGGAAAGTGCCATATTGTACTTTTTAAAAACTCCAGTCATCGCCACCATGTTTTGTATAGCGTAGACTCTTGATAAAGGCATGTTAAAGCAGTAAATAAATGAATGAGTATGAAAGAAATATTAAATTACTTGGTAGGAGTTGCTGAAGAGCTCGCTGGTGCCATGAAATCTGCTTTTACTTGTTGGACTTTTATGTTAAAATATATATAAAGCATCGTATAGCATGTATGATGCTATACATAACATCGATAGCATATGTAGAATGTGTAGCATAAGCATAAACTGCTCTCATTTTTATATCTCCTGCTTTGCATTATTTTGTACATTGTTTGGAGTTTTAAAAATGTTTCTCACCAAAAATGTAATTCATATGTAAGAAATAAAAAGGAAATTTATTTTCTTATGGAAATTAAATCTATTCTTATAGAGTTTGATGAAATTTTTTTAATACTTTGGCTTAATTCCTAATCATAATTTGAATTTTTTTGTGTAAGTAAGAAATACTATTATTTATATCTAATTTGTATCACATTTCATTAAGAAAGTAATTGATGGTGCTCTTTTGTTTCAGCTAAACCATTTACTTCTAAAGTGAAACAAATGCGATTACATAGAGAAGACTTTGAAATATTAAAGGTGATTGGTCGGGGAGCTTTTGGGGAGGTAAGAGATTAAGATTTTATAAAAGGTCTGCTAATTGTTTTGGAAGCTGTTTTATATAGTCATGAGGTAATTTAACTGAAGTATTTACTTGCTGTGTAATTGATATGGTTCATCAGAAAATATATTAAAGTTTTGAATGAAATGTTTTTACATGGAATTTTTTTTAAGACTTTTCACATGTACTTCGTATGTCATTGTAGATATGACTTTGTTTCTAGATTCCTTTATTCCGTTGGGCTATTTGTCTCTCCCTATGCCAATACCATATCGTTTTCAATTATTCTAGTTTGTAAGGATATGTGGTTGTGAATATACTCTGACTTCCTTCACCTCCCTCCACCTCCCTCTCCCTATGTCTCCTTTTCCCCTTGTATTTTCATATTATTTTAAAATCAGTTTTTTGATTTCTACTCAACTCATACACACACACACACACACACACACACACACACACACAGGATTTTGGATTAGGATTGCATGGAAACTGGAGATCAATTTGCAGATAATTGATATCTTAACACTGAGTCAGCTAATCCATAGACATAGTATATTCTTCCGTTTATTTAGGGCTTGATAAATTTTTCTCAATAATGTTTTGTAGTTTTCATTCAGTGTAGAGGGCCTCCACATCTTTCAGCAGATTTATTCCTAGATATGTGATATTCTTGATGTTATTTTAATTAGAATTGTTTAAATTTCATTTTCTAGTTGTTTTCTTGGGTAGTTAGAAAGATAATTGAATTCTGTTTATTGACCTTATACCCAGCAACCTGGTTAATTATACTTTTTAAAGTCATGAATCGTGTTGAATTTTAATAAAATGCTTTATCTGCGTCTTTTGAGACACTCATGGTATTTCTTCTTTACTCTGTTAATGTATTGAATTACACTGATTTATTTTCAAATGTTAAACTATCTTTGCATTCCTAAAATAAGCCCAACTTGGTTGTGATGTATTACCCTTTTTATGTATCAATGGATTTGTTGTGCTATTTTTTGGTGTGTTTTTTAGGATCTTTTTACCTGTGCTCATGAGAGAAGTTGGTCTGTAATTTTCCTACTTCTAATGTTCTGATCATACTTTGGTATCTTGGTTATGCTAGTCTCATAAAAAGAGGGAAATGTTTCCTCTTTTACTGTTCCTTAGAAGAGTTTATGAAGATTGTTATTGTTTTTTCCTTATATGCTTATAGGATTCCACTGGTGAAGGCATTTGGGCCTAGAGGTTGCTAGTGAGAAAGTTTAAAATAAGGTATTTTATTTCTATAATGGAAACAGAACTACTTAGATTTTCTATTTTTCTGTTAGTTTTGCTAGGTTTATCCATATCATCTAACTTTTCATACTTATTACTACATCGGTCATTTGTACCTCTCATTTTTTGATTTATCTTGCTAGGGGTTTATCAATGAATTAATTTTTGGCTTTTTGAATTTTGCTATTGTATTATAGATTCGTATCCTGTTTCTTAAATTTCTGCTCTTTAATGTTTTATTTCTTCTATTTTCTTTCGTTTTAACTTGCTATTCTTTTTCTAATTTATTGCAATAGAGCATTGATTTTGAGTTCTTCTTTTTAAATCTGTATTTAAGGTTATATACATTTTCCTCTAAGCAGCTTTAGCTACAGCTGACAAGTTTTGATATGTTATATTTTCATTATTATTTTGCTCATAATACAATGTGATTTTAAATTTCCATTGGTTTTTTTTTTTTGATCTATGAATTTAGAAGTTTATTTCTCAATTTCTAAACATTTAGAGGATTTTCTAGTTATATTTCTTTTATTGAGTTACGTAATTTCATAGTGGTTAGAGAATATACACTTTGTGATTTCAGTCCTTTGAAATTTGCTATACAGTATTCTATAAATATCAGTTAGGTCAAATTCATTAATGTTGTTTAAATCTTCCACATCCTTATTTTCTGTTTTCTCTGCTTGATTTATCATTCCCTAAGAGAGGGTTTTTTTTTTTATTTCTTTCAGTTTTTGCTGATGATAAACACAGCAATGGTGATGAACTTTTCATCATTATGGAATATTCCAATTATGTCTGTAATTTTTTTTTTACTTAAATTTTTCTTAATCTGATATTAGTAGAGCTATTCCAGCTCTTTTTATTAATATTTGCATTAAATATCCTATTCCATCCTTTTAGTTTTAGCTTTCTATAACCTTATGGTATGTTTACTGTTAAGTAGAGTATAGTTAGGTTTTGTTTTTTTAATCCAGTCTGATATATGTCTTTTTTTTTTTGAAACAGAGTCTCACTGTGTTGCCCAGGCTAGAGTGCCGTGACGTCATCCTAGCTCACAGCAACCTCAAACTCCTGGGCTCAAGCAATCCTCCTGCCTCAGCCTCCCGAGTAGCTGGGACTACAGGCATGCACCACCATGCCCGGCTAATTTTTTCTATATATTTTTAGTTGTCCAATTAATTTCTTTCTAATTTTAGTAGAGACGGGGTCTCACTCTTGCTCAGGCTGGTTTCGAACTCCTGAGCTCAAACAGTCTGCCCGCCTCGGCCTCCCAGAGAGCTAGGATTACAGGCGTGAGCCACCGCGCCCGGCCTGATATATGTCTTTTAATTGGAGTATATCTAGTCACTTAACATTTAATGTAATTATACTGCTTATTATTATTTGTTTTCTATTTGACTTGTCCATTCTGTTATTTTTCTTTAATTTCTTGCTTTTTCTTGGATTAATGGAGTATTTTAAATTATCCCCTCATGAATTTCTTAGTTTTACCTTCTTTTATTGGTTCCCCTAGAGAATGCCACATGTATCCTTGATAAATTTGTATTTTGCCAATTCCCATTTACCCAATTTTTACTCATTTGTTATTGCTGTCGTGTATTTTAGTTTGACGTATATTTGAAACCCCAAAAGATACGATTATACTGTTGTTATTCAGTTAGATTTACCCACATATTTATGTTTTCTCTTGCTCTTCATTCACATACTTCTGTTGACATACTTCTCTCTGGGATCTTTTTCCTTTTGACTTAAAAATTATCTTTAGTATTTCTTTAGTGTAGGTTTGCTGATGATGAATTAACTGTTCTTTTTGTCTGAAAATGTATTTACTTTGAGGCCTTAAAAATTTTTAAATTTGAGGTGTATATAAATATATAAGTATAGCTTGATGGATTTTTTTTTTTTTTTTTTGAGACTGAGTCTCAACTGTGTTGCCCTGGCTAGAGTGAGTGCCATGGCGTCAGCCTACCTCACAGCAACCTCAAACTCCTGAGCTCGAGCGATCCTACTGCCTCAGCCTCCCGAGTAGCTGGGACTACAGGCATGCACCACCATGCCCGGCTAATTTTTTCTATATATTTTTAGTTGTCCAATTAATTTCTTTCTAATTTTAGTAGAGACGGGGTCTCGCTCTTGCTTAGGCTGGTTTCGAACTCCTGAGCTCAAACAATCCGCCCGCCTCGGCCTCCCAGAGAGCTAGGATTACAGGCGTGAGCCACCGCGCCCGGCCTAATTTCTTTCTATTTTTAGTAGAGACGGGGTCTCGCTCTTGCTTAGGCTGGTTTCGAACTCCTGAGCTCAAACAATCTGCCCGCCTCGGCCTCCCAGAGAGCTAGGATTACAGGCGTGAGCCCGCCTGGCCTGGCGGATTTTTACATTTGTATCAACTTGTGTAAACCATCATGCAAATCAAGGTATAGAACACTTCCAGCATTCAAGTAGGCTCCCATTGTCCCTTCCATTGAATAACCATTTCCTTGTTAACTATCTACTCTGACTTCTATCACCATGGGTTTATTTTGTTTGTTTTTGTTATATTAATGGAATTATTATATATAGTACATACTCTTTGTTTCTGGCTTCTTTTGCTCAATATTATACTTATATGATTCATCCTTGTTTTTCACTGGGTTCACTGTATTTCTTTGTATGAATATACCATCGGTTATTTATTCATACTAGTGTTGGTGGATGTTCAAGTTGTTCATGGTTTTTGGCCATTATAAATAGTGCTGTTATGCACATTCTTGTACATGTCTTTTGGGAGATACAAACACTTATTTGTGTTTCATATAAATTTAGGAGTAGAATTGCTGGGTCACAGAGTAGGCATATTTAGCTTTAGTATATAATGCCAAATAATTTCCCAAGTGGCGACTGATTTATATTCCCACCAACAGTATATGAAGGTTCCAGTTGTTTCATAACCCAACACTTGGGTCACTTTTTTTTTTCTTTAGCCATTTTTTAGTGAGTGAGTAGTTGTATTGCATTGTGATTTCATTTTGTGTTTCCTGATAACTCTTAAAGTTGAACATATTTTGTCATATCACTATTTCACATCACTTGGATATCCTTTTTCTTGAAGTGCACATTTTGGGGTTGGTGGGGTAGGAGCCCGGTGGATGGGCTCTCTGACTTACTGGTATATTCTGTATACAAGTCCTTTGTTGGAGATATACTCACACACATGTATTTAAAAAAATCTTTTTTGTGGTTTGGCTTTTACCTCTCTTTATAGATAGTGTATGGAACAGAAGTTGTTGTGTTAATGAAGTCCGATAAATTAAACATTTTTTATGATTAGTGATTTTTGTTTTGTTTTTAAGAATTTTTTCTAACCTCAGGGTCATGAATATCTTTTTCCTATAATATTTAAAAAAATTCTTTGTATAATCTTTCAGAACAAATCTTTTACAGTTAGGTGTCTGATCCATCTGGTATTGACTATTTTGTGTTTTCCGAGGTATAGGTCAAAGTTCATTTTATTCTTGTGGTTTCTCAGTATCATTTATTGTAAAGACTACCTTTTCCACATTTCATTACAAAGGAACTTTTGTTTTAAATCAGGGATCCCTAAATATGTTACTCATTAATTTTTTAATAGTTTTCAGTGTAGAAGTCTTGTTCATGTTTCATTAAATTTATTTACAAGTCTTTGATGTTTTTTGAGAAGTTTATAAATGATAGTTTTGGAATTTTCTATTTTCTAATTTTGTTGCTAGGATAGAAATACACTTGG